TTTGAGGCCAGCCTGGTCTACTTGAGTTCTAGGACAGCCAAGGCTATGTAAAGAGACCCTGTCTAAACAAACAAATAAATAAAAAACAAACAGTCAAAAAACAACAACAGATTTGGAAAGATTAGATTAATTCAAAGAGGAAAAAAATTTTCATACTTTTTACCTCTCTACCTTTGCCTTTACATTTTCCATACTTTCAGACTGAGCTCTAGCCTCTGGACAGGCTTCCACTGGCTTTTGAAAAGAAAAAAAAAAGCTACTCCTTGGACTTGGACTGAAGTGTAACTAACTTAGTGGCAGAGTGCTTGCCTCACACTTAGGAAGCTACACGTATGAGGCTGTAGGTCTGGTCTGCAGTACAAAAACAAGATTGGAATTGCACTTAAAAACTGTTCGAAAGCCGGGGCGGTGGTGGCGCACGCCTTTAATCCCAGCACTTGGGAGGCAGAAGCAGGCAGATCTCTGTGAGTTCGAGACCAGCCTGGTCTACAGAGCTAGATCCAGGACAGGCTCCAAAACCAGAGAAACCCTGTCTCAAAAAAAAAAAAAAAAAAAAACTGTTTGAAAGAGTTCTAAAGTATAATTTCATTTGCATAGATAGCGCTTGCTAAGCACTGTGAAAATATAGTTTAAATACTAAATTAAACATATTCAGTAAAAAAAAAAAAAGGTACCTGTAAGAGTTACATTTAGGTTTCAGTTGACTATAAAACTGACCCACCTTGCCAAAAAGGTTAAGTTGTGAGACTAGTGAGTAAAAGAGTAGAAGCTTTACCAAAACACATAAGCTTTAAGTTAGAAAGGAAACAAGATCTCGATTTGACTCAATTCCAAGTTAACAGAGGCTTCCTTACCACTCTGAAGCCTTTTCATTTTTCATGAATTTTGGGAGGTTTCTTTTGTTTAAGACAGGGTCTCAAAACTACCTATGTGGCCAACAACAGCCTAAGCTTCTTACCTTAATAGCTTTACCTACCAAGTATACTACTTCCATACCCACTTTTATTTGGTATTGGGGGGTGGAGCACAGGGCTTCTAAACCCTATTTTGAACCAGAAAACAACAGTTATAAGGTTAAAATCTCACCATTTTCTGGTGGGGGTGGTGAGGTCGGAGGGTTTATTTTGAACCTCCAATTGGAAGTTTAGCAGGATTCAGTGTAAAGCAAAATTACTAGTTCTGTCTTGAGATCGCTGAGAAATTTTAGTATTCCAAATGCATAGTCCACCTTTTTTTTTAGATATTTTTATTTAAAAAAAAAACAGAAGAGGATATGCTTTGTGTGTATAGGTAGTCAAAGCTACAGTGTAGTTTAAGACATTTATCCAGCCCAAATAAAATACAAGTCATCCAAGGTTCAGTAGCTAGCGCAAAGCCACAATATACTAGAAGAAACAACGAAGACTGAAATTAAGCAAGAGGAAGTAAGGAAGGCAAGCAGGCAGGCGGATGGACATTTGACCGGACAACCAGGACTATTTTAGATTCCTAATCAGTCTCCTGGATACTCATCTACTCAAGGAATGTAAAACAAAAAAGAAACAGGAAGCAGAACTCTTGAGAGCCTCTCTGGATCACCTCTGCTCAATCCCTCAACATTTTTTGCATACAAAGATACTACACCATACTAATAGAGACCAGAGTCTACAAACTAGATAGAGGGGAACATCTGCCTCTTTAAAATCTGGAATAATGGGGGGGGGGGAGCTCAAAACAAAAAAAAAAATTCAGTCATGAATATCCAAACACAAATTTATAGTATTGATAAAGGAAATGACTATATATCCACCAAGGAAAGAGCCATAACTGAAATACAAACTCACTGCAAGCAGCAGATGAATGCCCTTCAGTCCCAAGAGTCATCCAAAAATTATAGTCTAAGAACCAGGACCCCCAAGCAAAGATCTGACAATGAGGAAATTGAGACTGGCTCTTTGTAGGATCTGTCAAGTCTATTTTGCCACGATCAGATATCATCAAGCATCTTTTGTCTTTTTTCATGGAGGGGGGGCTGGATATATTAAAATAAATTAACTATAAATATAAACAAGGCACAATTCACATTAATGTAACAAAAGTCATAGCGTGAGCTGGTTCATGCCTATGTGTCTATACTACCAGCACTCAGAAGTATGGGCAAGAGGACTGAGTTAGAAGCTGACCTGGAAGGGGCTGGAGTGATAGCTCAGTGGTTAAGAGCACTGGCTGCTCTTCCAGAGGACCTGGCAGCTCATGGCTGACTGTAACCCCAAATGCAGGGGATATAACACACACACACACACACACACACACACACACACACACACGCGCGCGCGCGCGCGCGCGCAAAAAGAAGCTGACTTGGGCTACACAGTGAGTTCCAGGTCAGTCTGAGCTAAATAGGGAAATTGTCCAAAAATGGAAAAAAAAAATAGTACTTTTGGCCAATGTATTGCTATTTTTCATGGTGATAACATTAAATAAATGCTCAGTGTATATAAAATACTTGTTTGAAGAAACTGGACTTCAGTTCTTTCAACATATCTGATCTGGAAGAAATTAACCAGAAGCTAAGACAGGCTTTTGTCTTATTAGACTTTTTGCCTTTCTAAACAATTACAGTAAAGAGCAATTTGTATTTACTTTCACATGCACAAAGTTTGAGCTTTGACTATGAAACTAAAATGGTAACCTATTCCCAGCCCCAAGCAGCTGTATTTACCTTAGCCATGACTTCTGGATCTGGTTCTTCCACAGGGTCAGCCCATTCAACTGTAACTACATTTCCCCACACTTTTACTTTTCCACTCATCAGCCGGCGTCTGGCTTGTGCTGCTGACTTGTGATCCTCATATTCAAGGAAGCAGAACCCCCGATTCTTCTTTTTGTCATCGGGTTGATGATAGAGAATAACGTCCACCAAACCCTCTGTTAAACCAACAGCCAGATATATAAGCCAAAAGCATCCACCACACGTCTAGCGATTAGGCAGACCTAAATCCACTTGCCAATGAGCAAAAAAAAAAAAAAAATTGAAGCCTCACAGTAGTAAACATTAGATCAGCATTATTCAATGCAGGGTTCAGGACAGTATTACATATTTTCTATTAATTTTATAGTTCTCAAAGTAGATTCAACTACTATGAAGTTTTGCAATTAATGATAAAACATGACTTCATAATTTATAAAGGCTCTATCAGAACCTCAAGACTCCAATTACTCACATAAATGCAAGAAAACTAACTTTCAACAACTAATCAGACAAAAAGCAAACAAAACACAAGAAACTTTCCTTGTACCCAACCAAATAGCTATTATTTTTATCAAGAAAAAAGATGATCAGCAATTATCTGTGTCTAGTCCCTCTAAGCTTAGTCCTTTCCTTTGCTGTCTAGGTCATATGAGCTAGCCAAGTACTTTATACACCCTTATAAACAAATGCTTCAATTTTTTTCTAGTCTAGATTTCTCTGAGACCAAGGTGGATGAGCTGCTTAAAATGTCTTGGACAAATATCACATATCCAAAACAGCACACCTACACCGAAAATCTATTTTCCCTACCTAATAAACGATCATCCATTATCAGCTAAGTCCTCAAGCCAGTCAAAAAATAATACTCACCCCCTTTATTTCATCTCTACAGTCCAAATCCATCACATTTATTTTCTCCCACCTCACTACTGCCCTGGTCCATGCTTCTCTCTAACATACTACTAATCCTGCTAAGCTCTAAGCCCTTATCCACATACAATAGAAAAAGCACTCTGTAAAGATGAAACATCTGTTATTCCACGCATAATACCTCCAAACACCTTTTCATTCTGTATGCAATAAAATTCCATGCATAAGACTTTCAAATACCTTTTTATTATGTATACAATAAAATACAAACTTCTTACATGGTCTAATAGAATCCTGTCTACTTTATCTCATATAATTGTGCTTTAAATTATCTTTAAACAAACATTAGCTTCCTATCAGTTACTTTAATAAAACAAGTTATTTCTTGAGTTTTATGGAAGGAGAGAAGGTTAGCATTCCCCTTGGCAGGGACAGAAGTGACCCTTGGGACTAACAACATATATACAGTTTTTTAAAAAAAGTTATTTCTTGACTGAGACACTTGATACATGTTACTCTTTTGGAATGTACTCTTTAAGCAGTATACTTGAGTTTTCAGGTTTGACTGAAATAACATCTTATCAGAAATGCTAACCACGGAAATAGATATTAGATATTTTGTAATTAAATACTCTGTATTTTCCCTTTTATAGTATTTTCCTACAATCTGGAAATATTTCTCTTTAATTTTTTGGCTTTAAGTCTTTTCCCAGATGTAGGCCCTATAAAGGCAAAGAACAGCAAAGAATAGCTTTCTTATTCACCACTGTATCCCAATGTTTAGCAGGTAGTTTAATAAGTACATGTTGGAGAAATAAGTAGAAGGACATGAACAGAAAGGAACTGCTATATTAATAGTCAATAAAGCAATTGACTAACACAAAATGAACACTGGAAATCGAGGTTTCAGAGCGAGCAGAAGGTCTGAAGAAAAGATCCAGCTCTATTCTGGATAACTGAAGTCTGACCTTAGATTGGTCATCTATATAGATTTTAAAAGTACTATGAGAAAATCAATTTAGGACAGAAGAGGGAGAATTGGCAACCTTCAGGTTAAAGAAAGAGTGAACCCAGAGTATTGACAGCTTCAAGTAAAGGGAAAAAGACAGTATGACTGGGTGACAAAAATATAAAGGAATATAGTTTTTATAAGAGGAGACTATGAACTTAAAATAGTGTTTTCACATCATAATCTAATATTCTTTCTTTCTCTCATATGTGTAAGAGAGAGAATGGGGAGAGAGAAGAGACAGAGAAACAGAGCATGCCTGCGGGCATACCAGCAGATGCTCCTATGCCAGGATGCATCTGTGGAAGTCAAGAACAACAGTCATGAGTGGGTTTTCTCCTGTCAATTTGTGTAATCTGGAGACTGAATTAAAAACATAAGGCCTGTAGCAAGCACATCTTTACCAGATGAGCCATCTCACTGGTCCATCTCAACATTTAAAGGTAGAATGCAGACCAGGCATGGTGGCACACTTCTTGAATTCCACCATTCTAGGGGCAGAGGCAGAGATAGAGGCTGCTAAATCTCTGTAAATTCAAGGCCACCCATGTCTACATAGCAAACTCCATGCCTGCTAAGGCTAGAGACTAGCTCAAAAATAGATAGATAGATAGATAGATAGATAGATAGATAGATAGATAGATAGATAGACAGACAGACAGACAGACAAACAGACAAGATAGATATTTTTAAAAAGTGAAATGCTGCCTAAGGAAATGGCTCAGTAGGTTTGAGTGCTTGCTGTGAAAGCAAGAGGACCTGAGTTCAAAACCCCAACACCCACATAACAAGTGAAATGAATAGAAAATAAAATGAATCTTTTGGGGAGGGGGAGGGAAAGGGGAGGCGGCGGTGGGGAAGAGACAGAAATCTTTAATAAATAAATAAATAACAATAAAAAATCAAAACAATCAAGGTTAGGTTGAAAAAAAATGAATCTTTTGTAATGAATCAAAATACAGTTTTACTCAATTCTTTCATATTATAAAGTCTTCTGTTTTGTTTCTAAGGTAGGGCTTCATATATCACAGACTATCCTTGGGTTAGTTCTGTTGACAAACTCCTAACGTCCAAGTTTGAGGAATACAGGCATGAACCCCTATGCATGACTGGTTATTTTATTTAATTATGTGGATCTGTGATGTAAAATGTACTTCTCAACCAACTGCATGAATTGGAATCTTTTAAAAATTAAAAATAGGTCAACAGGAAGAAATGAGAAGTCTCTTCTCCCTAATACAACTACTAGAGGAAAAAGCTTTAACTTGAGGACTAGAGATTAAAGGCTATGCCAAAAACCAAGCTTCGACAGAAACAAAATGAAAAGGAAATTAGATGAAATCATGAATACTTAGACACATTTAGTCCAACCATTACTAAAGTAGAAAGGAAGCAATTCGGATATGAGTCTTAGTTTACGGTATTATCTCCTTTGAGGGCAACACTTTATTTATAAATAATACAAGAGATTAACACAAACCAAATTCTATATTCATTTTTGTTTTACCTGTGACTTTACTGAACTCTTCCAGAATGTTTTCTTTAGTCTTATTCTTTGGAATGGATCCAACAAAAAGTCTGTTGTTTGCCACAGAAATGCACACTCCCAAGTGTTTACCAGGGCGAATCTCATAGCTGTCACACTGCAAAGAAGAAAAGAACCAGAGACCCCCAAACCACCCACAACTGAGGACAACTGATATTAATCTAAAGAGCCCCACAACTTAAGGTCAAATACTCACCAAGCTCCCCTAAAGCTTGCAGAGATATGAGTGTGTATTTTAAACTTGTTACAAACTCCAGTTACAGCGTGGTTTTGTAACCTTTACTATTCATCCATATCAAAGGGGCTCAAGGATATTATTCATTTTAACACTGAATATTTTTCTTGGGGGGGGGGGTGAGACAGGGCTTCTCTATGTAGCCCTGGAAATCACTCTGTAAACCTAACTGCCTCTCTCTACCTCCCAAGTGCTGGGATTAAAGGGATGTACCACCACTAGACTGGCTACATATTTCAATTTTATCTACCTGAAAATTCTTTTCCAGAGAATCTCAGAAGGAATACCTAAAACTATTCAGAGTCCTTGAGGATAAAATTAGAATCAAATAAGCAATAGTTAAAGCAATAATATGTAAAAAGGAACAATTAGGTTTATTCAATGCTTAAAAAAAAACCTTGAGTTTCACACTGTATACAAACCTCAATTCTAAAGTTGTAAACTACCAAAATACTTTCAAAACTTTATGAATAAAAATGTTTTATTTAAACTCACTACAGTGATAGATTCTTAAATAAATTTTAGTTTCTTATGTTTTAACATTACTTACCATTAGTTTACTAAAAAAGATAATTTAAAAGTCACCCATAGGGGCTGGAGAGATGGCTCAGAGGTTAAGAGCACTGGCTGCTCTTCCAGAGGCCCTGAGTTCAATTCCCAGCAACCACATGGTGGCTCACAACCATCTGTACTGAGATCTGGCGCCCTCCTCTGGCGTGCGGGCATACATCGAGGCAGAATGCTGTATACATAATAAATAAATAAATCTTAAAAAAAAAAAGTCACCCATAAACTACCAAAAACGAGAAAATAATGACTTGAAATTGTCTTAATAGTAAATAAACAAATTTAAAGAGAAAAATCTACCAGAAAAATTAAAACCCGGGCCAATCCAGGAAAGAACTAATTCAGACCTCACTAATGAAACCAAAGTATTTGATAAATAAAATACAGCTGTGCTAAAAGGACAAGAACTGCTCTAGCCTTTAGCATAAGCCCTCAGATGTCTGGAACACTGACACTGTTACTTTAACACACTGATAGAATCACCTTCATACAGTAAGAATACAAGTCACCTGCAAAACTAACTGCTGCTTTAATAAGCCCTGGGAACAAGCCCTGGATAAAAAGAAAACAGTAAAAGGCTATTACACAGCAAAAGAGGACAGACTTAGAATACAATTTTTTTAATGGTATAGCGGGATTGTGACACAAAACAGATTCACACTATTTCCTAAACCAAGTCCTAAAAAAGTCATTGTCATCTAGTTATGTTCTGCAGAACCATCTTAGCCTCCATTATACTTAGCGCCAAGCCTAAAGTCTGACAGCAAGAACTGACATTTTTATCTAAAAGAAAAATCTGAATTAGCTTTATACTAAATAAAAAAACTGCTGAGTTATTTTTATTGCTAAGTTAACTAACCAATCTGTTAGTTAATTCAGAATATTAATCAGGAAAAATAAAGCAAAGATCACATACCAACTCAGTCAATATAAAGATATTAAAAGCAGAAACTATAAGAAAATGAAACCATGTTAACTGCATATGTTTTTGAACTGAAGTTTATTTTCTCAGATAGTAAGGACTTGGACAGTGGGTATTGATCACATACCAGCTTAACTGCTTCCTGGGCAGCTTCCTTCCCACAGAAGGTGATAAATGCATATCCTCTGTTCTGACCAGAGAGTGGATCCATCATGAGGCGTAGATCCCAGATAGGACCAGCCTTCTCAAAAAGGGGTACCAACTCATCCTCATATAAGTCTCTTGGGATTTTACCTACGAAGACCTGAAATAAAACTTCCTTGTTAGAACCCAACATAAGTATTTCATTTAGAGGCAGAGGCAGAATTTCTGTCTTTGGCTAGGGGATAAAAGCTAAAGTATTTAAGGTAGGAAAAGGATAAATTGAATCTGGCAGTCAGCTTAGAGTAAATATGAACTTTTACTGTAACCTTGAAGTCAGGTAGGTGTATTGGAACACTCCTTTAATCCCAGCACCCGAGAGGCAGAGGCCGGGATCTCTGTGGATTAGAGGTCAGCCTGGTCTACAAAGCAAGTTCCAGAACACCCAGCGCTGTTATACAGAAAAACTTTGTCTTGAAAAACAAAAACTAAATAAAACAAACACAAAAGAGCCTTAAGGTTATCAACAGAAGTTAAGTCTATAAATAAAATGAAAACTGATAGTTGCAAAAATCTGTACTAATAATAATAACTTCAAAGATCTCTGTGAGTTACAGGCCAGCTTGGTCTATACAGTGAGATACTATTTAGAAGAAAGAATAAAGAAAAAGCTAGTCTGTACCTTCTAAAAATACAACACTCATTTTATTTGTTTTTTTGAAACAACATTGTAACAGCCCAGGCTGTCCTGAAACTCCCTCTGCAGACCAGGCTGGCCTTGAACTCACAGAGACCTAATTACCTCTAAATTCCTTGCGCTGGGATTAAAGGCAACAGCCATCCCCACTAACACTCATCATTTTCATAAATAATAATTTAATACGAAATTGACCAGGCTTTCATTGAGTTTTCTCAATACTAAAATCGTCATTATTTAAAAAGCAACCTTAATGGTCTCAAAAAAAATTCTTGTCTTTGGTCTATTTCTTTATAAGGCAAATTATTTGAAAATGAGGCATCATTATGTTGCCCAGGCCAGCCTCCAACTCCTGTGCTTAAATAACCCTCTTCCTTCAGCCACCTTCCTAAGTACCTACCCTGTTTGGCAAGCACATTTAATTGTAAGGTAAGGAAAAAATTCCTTTTTTACCATTTAAAGAAGTCAAAAAAAAAAAAAAAGAAGTCATGTTATTCTTTAATTATAACAAAGAAAAAATAAAATTACAAAGCTAAGTTATAAACAAAAACAAGTCAGCATTTACACCAAAAATTTAAAGTTTCTCCAACATCAACATTAAAACAAATTTTTTGTTGTCCTTTTTTTTTCAAGACAGGTTTCTCTGTGTAGCCCTGATTGTCCTGGAACTCTCTTTGTAGGCTAGGCTGGTTTCCAACTTAGAGATCCACCTGCCTCTGCCTCCTGAGTACTGGGTATTAGAGATGTGCATGACATGCCCAGGTCAAAAACTATTTTTTGATGTAACATTTATAAGCCACAAATATGAAACAGTAAACTAATATTTACATGAGAGACATTTGCTATCTACAAACTCATCTACAGCAATACTTTAAATTCTGAACAATGACCAAAGCATAGATAACAAAAAAACAGGAGTACTCAGATGTGGAAAATATCACTGGGGCTGGGTAGATAGCTCAATGATAGAGTGTCTCCTTCAAACAAGAAAGGTCCTTGGTTTAATCCCTAGCACTGCAAGTAAGAAAGCAAAAATATTATTAATGTTCATGTCTGGTGGCACATCATTTATTCTTGCCTAGCCCTTAATCACTGCCCAGAGAGACCCTGTCTCTAATTAAAAAAAAAAAAAGGGGAAGGAAGGAAGGAGGAATGGGAGGAAGGAAAAAAGAGCAGCCTAAAGGCTATAGCTGTCAATTTTAGTGAAGGGTGGTGGAAAGTCAGACAATAATGTCAAATTAAGTTAAACCATGCCTAGAAGTTTAAACCTTTTTCTAGATGTGTTGGGCAGAAAAAGAATGTGACTTACATTCTAAGGGAAGCATACTGATAACTGGGTAGAAAATTAAATGTATGAACAAGTTCACTCAGGGTTAACAGGACAATCCTGGCAAGCTATAACTGATGCTTAATCTAGTAATAGGTGACTGATTCAAATCTATACTTTTAGTTACTTGGAACAAGTAGTCTAATTAGTGAGCCAATTTCCTCATCTTGCAACCACACATGCAAGGTTCAACTTCTATGATACAGAAAATCCATATTAATTCTTTTTCTAAATAAGCTCTTATATGCTCACTACGTAGCTAAGGATGATCTAGAATTCTTGATTCTTCTGCCTCCATCTCCAAAGTGCTGGGATCATATGCCTGTACCATCGTATCTGCCAACTACAAATTCCTTTTCTGTTATGTATATATGAGTGTTTTGTCCACATGTGTATCTGCTACTCAAAAAGCCCAGAAAAAGGCATTTGATTCACTAGAACTGGAGTTACAATAAGCTTCCATGTCATTGGTGGGAGTCAAGTCTGGGTCTTCTCTCTACAAATCATATCTCTAGTTCCTCTGTCCTCGGCCTGGCACTCCCTCT